CTTTATTTGGTATGTTAGGTTTTGCAGAAACCCAAGAATTGTCTTTACCCCAACCTTTGTTTCCCTGACTGTGGGCTGTAATCATGCGTTCAGTGTTTTTACAACCTATGGCCTATGGCTTTTTAAAGAACTTTTTATTCTGAAATAATTTCAAACTTACAGAGAAGTTACAGGAATGGTACAAATAACTTGCTTATACTCTTTACCTCAAGGTACATTTGCTGTTTCATTTTTATTCTATATACACACATTTTTTTCTGAACCATTTGAAAATAGGATACCACATTATGCCCCTTTACCACTTAATTCTTCAGCATTTATTTCCTAAGAACAAGGACATTCTCTTAAAACCACAATACAGCTTTCAAATTTAAGAGATTTAATATTGATATACTACTTTTTAACTAATCAACCGCCCATATTCCAGTTTTGTCAATTATCTATAGTGATTAATTTAGCTCAAAACCTAAATTTTGTTTTAAACTGTTCCTGCCAATCTCTTCTGCTCTTTCGACTTTTTTCAGTGAGCCCTTCTTTCCTCCTTGCCGTTTTTTTTTAACAGCTTTATTAAACAGCTTCACAATAGTATCAAAAAGGATAAATAAAGAATAGAAACCTACACTGTCCCTCCCTAGTTGTCTGCTGTGGCAAAAACAAAAGTACCTTTGTGTGACCCTTAGGGGTGGCCAGAGGGCTTAGTCTGAACCACATGAACCAGAGTGTGACTTGGGATCACTTAAAAGGGCCTGAGTTTATACCTACCAGTAAGGAAGATTTTATGATTAGAAAATAAAACTATTCCTAATATTTTGAATATTTTGAAGTATTTTAATTATGTAAATGGAACTGAGGTCTAGTTTACTATCTTTAATGGCTTTATTGAGATATTCACATACCATGAAATTTATCTTTTTAAAGTATATAGTTCAGTGGTTTTTAGTATAGTCACAAAGTTATGTGGGCACCATATCTTAATTCTAGGACATTCTGAAGGGCCGGCCGAGTGGCTCAGTTGGTTAAGAGCTCGCTCAAGAGTTTGAGCTCTGAGCAACAGCGGTTCGAGTCC